GGACAAATTATTTTCCATTATTCCCTTTACCGCCCTTTGAAATTTTAACTACAAAAGCAGCAGCAGTGGGGGGAGGAAGCTTCCTTCACTAACTGTGTATTCTCATGGGCCCTTAACCTGGATACTATTACATTAATATTCTGTAGAGCGTTTAATGCTATCCTAAGCACTTTGTTTGTAAAAGGTGACGTGTCACCTGCCATTTTGTCATCCCATTAAATGAAAACAGAAATGCAGAAGAGCCTTTAGGTTTTGGATATTGACATACTGTATTCAAAAAGAATGCCTTTGTATATTTTATTAAATTCTTACCTAAGAGTTCCAGCATCTCAAGCAGTGCAAGGAAAAAACATACATTTAAGTATACCATCTTAAAATCCACTGCATATTTTTTTGTACATAAACCACCTTTTGATACAATATTATCCATTTTACTAAATCAAACCTTCCTTTAACTATCCAATATTTTATATTATCAAGGGTCTGAATGCAGGTTGATAGACATTCAGTAATGGATGAGGCCATGATAATAAGGGGCTCATGACCCATTTTTTGGTTTTCAGGTTAACAGGCTGTGTAGGTGTTGTGGGAAGGGGTGGGGCCTGTGGGGGGTTTGCTGTGGATGGGAGCCTCCTCCTTCCTCCTCCAGCCCTGGAGAAGGCAAGGGCCTTAAGTGGCTGCCATGACTCTGGTTATAGGCTTGACTGGGGGAGCTCCCTGTTCAGCTGAGGCATGCCCAGCTATATGGCTGACTATGAGGCATGAAGGACCCAGGCAGAATGAACAAAAAAGACTAAATTTATTAAACAAATAATGTAACAATAGATGAAATAAGAAAACAGTTGTGCAGACAGAGTACATTAATAAAGGGCAAAACTTCCAGGGAAAGAAGCTAGCTAGCAAACAACAAAGTTCCCTAATGCAACTGACTGGATTCCTACCACTATTTCAGTACCTTCATGTCAGACTCACCTCCATTTTGGAATGAGGAATCAGCTCCTTCCGAACAGTAGCCTTCCTGCAGCCTGGCTGCAGGGAGTGAATATCCTCCCTCCTTGTACAGGGTCTAATATGCTGACCCTCAAGGCTCGGCTTACTTAACAGTAATTGGATCCTGGTTTTCCCTCCATTATCTCTGGTCCAATTCTGAGGTTTAGGTGGTTTCTGGGAAATTTAGGCCTGCATGAAAATTGGCAGCAAAGCCCAAGGCTCACATATGAGGGAAAGGCTATCTTGAAGCTAGCAATATGAAACTAGAAAACACGTAACAAAATAGCTTGGAGTCTAGTTAATGAACAACAATGCACGAGCATATGTATTATTGTCAGTCAGCTAGTCTTGATCCTCAGTATTTTGCTTACCAAGTAAGTCACCTGACAAATTGACAGGAAGTATGATGCACAAAGACAAAATGGTGACAACAATCAATAAGCAGATGAGGTGGCGCTGAAAGGTGAGATAATGAATGGCATCCTCCCCACATTTTTCATGGATCTCTTCATCACTGCACCACAAATAAGAATGGCAACAAATCAGCAAGTAAGGTTCACCAGATGGAATTTGCTTAGATAGTCAAGCTATGAGTTTTGTTGCACAGTAGCAGCTAGAGTGAATTATGCTACAAAGAATGTGATCTAGACTTCATAAAATGTCACATGGACACAAGGCATAGTAGCATAATCTCAAGGGGAAAAAGGGCAGCCACTTGTAAACTCCTTTTTTAGAACCATTTCCTCCCACAAACTCATATAACAATCTGAGAGCTTATGTTATGATTTTTCCGTAGTGAATTTTTATTTGAGGGCTGGTCTCATCACAGCAAGTCTATTCATTCAGATCAATTTCCGACAAGCTGTTGCTCCATGCTCGTTTTTCCCTTTGCCCCAATCGTATGTGTCAATTTCACACCATGTGCTGTGCGGCTGCATTTTGCCCTGCAGCTTCACCCGATTTCCCCCGTGTCTACTGGATTGAGTAGACGTGGGGGAAATTGGGTGAAGCTGCGGGGCAAAATGCGGCTGCGCAGCACATAGTGTGAAATTGACAAGTACGATTGGGGCAAAGGGAAGAATGAGCGCAGAGCTGCAGCGTGTGGGAAGTCGGTCTCAATGTGTAGTAACAAAAGAAGTCTGCAGGCTGTCTTAATCTAACAGCAAATTTAAATGAAACCATGGAAATAAGAGTATGCAGCTTGTGGGAAGTCAGTCTCAATGTGTAGTAACCAAAGAAGTCTGCAGGCTGTCTTAATCTAATTTAAATGAAACCATGGAAATAAGAGTAACTTTAAAATAATAGAACTAAGATGCCAAATAAAAATGCAAGTCTTATTTTAAAGCTATAAACATAAAATTGGACAGCTTGAATAAATAAACTGTGGTGTGTACATGTACATACACAGTAAAGCACAGTATTATTAAAAATATTCCCAATTGGGTTACATTTCACTTATAGTTTTCCATTTTCAAAACTGCTATGAAACTAAGTGTAGCAGGCAATATGTGGGGCAGATAGTACTCAGATCACTATTCATCTATATACTCACTGCATTCGAAAGGCAGCTGTTATCCAAGAACAAAAACCCTAAGAATAAAGAAAAATCTGTTATCTAAATACTAGCCCTGCCCTCCTGAACAGAATGTTATAATTTCTATTAATATACAGAAGTAGATTCTTCAAGAAACAAGCACTTTGGCTTTAATCTACACATGTGTCATGATACCAGGACATCACATTTCAGACACCCACAGAGAATATTTAATGCAGTTTAAAAAAAACCTTGGCAATTGTTAATGTTACCAGAAATATTAAATGAGATGAAGTAACATTTATGCTTCTACTGCAGGGAGACCCGGGGTGTGTGTGTGTGTTCATTTCAATTCCTCAGTCTTCAGGTAAACTGAATCCAAACACAAGGGAGGAAGAGTTATTGCAAGTAAGCCTTGTGACCTGATGATGTTAAGGATTCCCAAGGCTGAAGAGATTCAGTCCTCTACAGTCACCCAGGTGCACAACCCTATGATATTCCTTGATCTATCATGCCTGACACTGGCTTATGAAGACAGCCAATATAAGGTTATGATTAAGAACATAAGAACATAAGAGATGCCAATGTTGGATCAGGCCAAGGCCCATCCAGTCCAACACTCTGTATCACACAGTGGCCAGAAACTGTGCAATTATTTTTTTCTCTGTATTTTTTGATTTGGGTCTATTTTTGATTTGGGTCTATTGGAGCCAAGAAAATTACAGGATTTCCCCCAAAACCTGGATCCCAATACTGGTACAGTATTCTGATCCTGGATTTTTTGAAAATCCTGGATTTTTTCATATCCAATAGACCCCAGAAGAGGGGGGGGAAGCAGTGGCAAAGCCTCAAAACAGGTAACAGCAAGCTCAGCTAGGGCTCTGTTGGGCAGTCTGGTTTAAAGGGACTGCCCAAGAGAGCCTGCAAAGCAGCTGAGCCTGTGAAGAGAGACTCCCCGCCAGCTCAGCTCAGGTTCTTTTGGGCAGTCCCTTTAAACTGGACTGCCGAAAAGAGGCCGAGCTGAGCCAGGGGGAGAGTGCTCCCCCCCTCAGCTGTTTTGAGGGGGTGTCTTCTGTAGTTCCTTTAAGTGCCCAACAGGGACTACAGAAGAAATCCAGAAAAACAGCTGAGCAGTGGGAACAATCTCCTCCAGCCATTCAGCTGTTTTGGGGGGGTTGTCGGTAATTCCCAAATATATCCAGGATTCTTTTGAGATTTTTTTTCTAGTTCTCCTGAGAAATCCCAAATATCTTTGGGATGCCGAAATCTACCTGAAAAGTACCAATAAGGTATTTTTGGGTTGGGTAAATCCAAATGCACACCGCTAGTATTGATTACATTGTCAGCTCCCTGAAGGAGCTCCCTGAAGGAAGCGCACGTTAAAAAAAAAGTATAGATATATCTCTACTCAGAATTATGCTGAACTTGAACTCTATCAGCACTTCAGTTCCCTGGACTTGGGGAGGAGGAACTGGGAAGAGGTAAAAGATTATCCTAATGTCACTGTCACCACAAGTGAAACAAGCAGACTGATTATGCAACAAGGTATAGACTAAATGATAATATGGGTAATTCTACATATCTATAAATACAGGGTTGACAGAGTAGTGTTGTCCTCCTTAAGGAGGCAATTGTTAAATGAGACTAGCATCTTGCAATACAGCTATACACGGAATTAAGAGAGAGATCATTTAAAAAAAAACAGATGACAGTGACTAGAGGTATTAGGAGGCAACTCTGAACCAATCTGTTTGGAAGAAGTCTGCTCTGTTATTTTAGTTTGCTTTTAGGTCTCTCAGTAATAGCCTATGGAAATCAGAGAACCTCCAAAAAACATTTTGAACAAATGTGCTTTGTACTTGTTGCTAACTATCACTGATTATTATCTAGAGAAGTACTACAAACAGAAACAATAAGCAAAAAGACTCCATCCAAGGGCTCTTAGGACGATATCCTAAACCTTCAAACAGTGAAGCTATTCTCCTAATCTCTTTAAACAGTGAAGCCAATTCTAAGCATTCATAGCACATTTTATATATATACTCTGACATAAGTCACAAACCCACCCAAAAATACTGACCGTGTCAGGGTCCAGGTCATCAGACACTGATGAGGATAATCTGTGAAACCTTGTTTCACTAGAATACAAAGGCAGGATTCAGAAACACATTTAAGAATTTGGGGGGTATAAAAGCGACTAAAAATGATCAGAATATTTGGAGGGCAGAGAATTATTTCCGTTCTGATAAAGTAACATATATAATAAATAATGTAATAAGAGCTTGTTTCAACATTTCAGATGGGAGGAAAAGCAGATAGCGGGCATGTAAGCATTCTAGAAAATAAAAAACCAAGAACGAACTTTATACAGATAGAAGTGAGGTTCCAAAGAGAACTAGAAAGAAGTCCCAAAGCAATATTTTTCTAAATCCCATAATTTTAAAGCTTGCTCATGATTTCAAACATACAGGTTCTAACCTCCAAATATTACAAGGGGTAACTATAATCAGCACTGATGACACTATAAGCTTTTTCATAGAATCATAGAGTTGGAAGGGACCTCTAAGGTAATCTAGTCCAACCCCCTGCACAATGCAGGAAATTCACAAATACCTCCCCCCAACCCTCAGTGACCTCTGTTCCACACCCAGAAGATGACAAAAAACCCTCCAGGATCTCCAGCCAAACTGGCCTAGAGAAAAATTGCTTCCTCACCCCAAAGTGGTGATCAACATTTCCCTGGGCATGTAATAAAGGGCCACAAGAACTAAGCACTGATGCAGCCCTTCCTGCCCTCCCTGTCATGATCTGCCTAAGTTCCTCTCTAAAACTATCACAGCTTAAGGAAGCTTTACACTAATTAAAAATGCTGTGTTCATTTCCTGTCATGTGTTCCGCATTGTATCTGGATGATTCCTGTCCATTTCCAAGCCCCTAGCCCACGACAATTATACATATATATCAATATAATTACTGGACCAATTCTAGTAAACATGCCCTACCCTCTAGAGTCAAATATTGCTAAGTTTGTTTCTTTAAAAATAGTGATCACCAACTAATTTACATCATATATCCCTGATTTTGTGTGACAGAAAAAACATATTGCTAAATAAATTACATGGGCAACTATACTGTGGCTGCTTGAACAGAGATGCTATGGTACAATATAGGTAGTGGCATCCTGCATAAAGCAATCAGTACCAGAAAGCCTCGCTTCTCAATTGACCTGGCATTTACTGTGTGATTTCTTTCTCTGATGTGCTTCTTGTTGTGTTTCTTATCTTTTTTCCCTTGTGGTTCATAGACATATGGATACTAGTTGCATGGTCAGCACACAGCATGGCATTGTCACCTTTGTACCTATCTATGTTGTACACAGCCTCTTACAGCTTTGAACATTGAAATTTAACTCCTGTTTTATACATCTTTACCTTTCTGTTTCCGACACAAGTGCAATACGACCATAATCCCAGAATCTTTTCCTTATAAAAGAGAACACCGAGATTAAAATCTAGGAAAGAATTTATAAAAAAGGAACAATCACGTTAATGATGATGTAACATCATAAATATTCATCATTTCAAGTTAAACTGGTTTCTACTCTTCAGACTTAACAGTGGCAAATAAAATATCTAGGAATAAACTCGCACTTGGCATAAACCAGTAGATTTCCTTAACCCACCACCAGAAAGTCTGGGCTTTTGGTATTCAACACACTGAATGTTATTTTTCACTGCTAAATTGATAAAACATGTACCTTGAACGAAAAGAAAAGATTCTTCAATGTTCCAGTATTAAATTCTCTAAAAGCTAATTTCAGACAAATAACCTCTTTGTCAGTGTACTCATTAACTTTAGTTTGGCAGACATAAAGTTGATACACTCACATGAAGCTGCCTTATACAGAGTCAGACCACTGGTTTATCAGGGTGAGCACTATCTACTCTGACCAGCAATAGTTCTTCGCGTTCGTGTCAAGGTCTTTCATATCACCTGCAACCTGGTCCTTTTAACTCAGCTTCAGAAATAACTGAAATGTCTGCTTTCAGTCCTGCAATCTTGTTATCCAAAGACTTTGGACAACCCTATCATCACTTTTGGCCAACAGACACTAGACACTGCAGCATGATCAATCTACTGGGAAAAGAAAGAGTGATGCTGGTGCCCCCATTCCAGCCCCATTTCAGCACAGTACAGTGCATGCTGACTCTGCTCTTGTTCACCTAGTAACTAGAGGATTCTGAGTAACAGAGAAATCTATCATCCGTGAGTGTTTACATAAACAAACATACCAAAAAGCAAATTACATCGAGCAGCAGGACAGTAGGCACACCACCGAAGGTTACACCTTGAAGCACAGTACTTCCACGTGCAGTGTTGTAGCAGTATGTCCCATTTGGAGAGCCAATGGTGTTGTTAGTTCTATTTAAGAAATAAACTTGGCGTGAATGTCCAACATCTCGAAACAGGAATGGAATCATGCTGTCTCTCCTAAAATAAATAGGATAGGGAAGTTACAATACTTTGCAAAGAGATGAGCATGAGAAGCAGTTCATTCAGAAGGATTACACAGCCTAGAAAAGAAAGCAATATTTTGCCATCACTATCACTTCTCTCATTAAGAAGTTTTGCAACAGTTTGATTGATCAAAACATACACCCCAACTCTCCCCCCTCTTTTCCCCTGGGGCAGCAGTATAGTATTGTATGTGCCATCTTGTGAACTGTAAATGTTGGAACTGTTTTAACTGATATGTCTCAATCTTATATTATGTTCTGTTATTATGTGTTGGAACCCGCTCTGAGCCCCACATTAGTGGGGGAGAGTGTAATACAAATCAAAGAAAGAAAGAACAAAATACTCTTTGGCACAAGATTCCTATCTAAAATATCTTAAACAAATAAAACCTGATATTTTAAAAATACCTAATGCTTGGTAGCAGGATCAGTTAAATATACTAGTGATCTGACATCACAGCTGAACGCCCTAGAGCAGTAATAGACCTATTTGGCAAATATGCCTTAAGTCCAGAGTACAAATAAGTAAACTGTGGAATTTGCATCCTGTGGATGTAGCAATGGCCACGAACCTAGATGGCTTTAAAAGGGGGTTGGACAGATTTATGGAGGAGGAGAGGTCCATTAATGACTGCTAGCCACATTTACAGGCAGCAAACAAGTGTTAGTAGGCAACATCAGGGAAGCTTTGGCCTCTATGCCTTGTTTGTTTGGCTCTTCAGGACAAGTGGTTGGCCGCTGTGTGAAAACAGTATGCTGGACTAGACTGTTGGCCAGATCCAGCAGGCTCTGCTTATACTCTTATGAGATAGTGTCACTGTGGTTGAGACTACAGTAGATATGCAGCACCTTTCTTTCCCCACTGTTTGTTTTGCCTCAGATGTTCACCAGATAAAGGTCTAGGTATTTCAATTCTGACTCTCCATGTCTTTACATTATTGGATCCATCCGGCAGATTATTTCAAGGAAATTAGCTAAAAGGCACCCTATAACCCATAAAATAGAATTTATTTCTGCCATCATATCTTGTCCCCACAAATGAGGCAACACAGGCAGAGGAGAGCATGGTTTTTTCATTTCCAAATTCTGATTTGCTGTGAGAAATCATCTAAAACCATTCTAAATCCTGCAGGGGGCAGAAGGGAGTTAGATTTGTCCTTAATCTTGCTACTATTTGCCAAGATCATGGGCAATTACCAATACTGTCCAATCTTTCCTCAAAGAAAAGCATAATGAGGAACTTAAGAAATATACTTAGAAATGATATGTAACACTAAAATCTGTCATGTCTACATCTGCCTTATAAGAGGATAAGAAGCTAAAATTTGCAGCACAAAATAGAACTATCATCCTCCTCTTACTGAATATCTGGTAAATTTTACAGAACTCAAAACTGGGTTCAGGATACTGAGCCATTTTAAGAGGTCATAAGAAAGGAATTGCACTACTGTTGTTTTTTAGATTTTTTTTAGGACCTGAATCTGCGCAAGCATAAAATAAGTTAAATGAAATGCTGACATATGGCGCCTACTCTACAGCAAACAATAAGCAATTAAGGACCTAACTGTGCTCCTCGCCAAGAAGGGGGCCCCCAGCCCTTATTGGAGATTCTGTGCTTCAGCACGAGCAGCTTTCTTTATTATTGAACCGGGAAACTGTTAACCTAATACAACTGCTAAAGTCTCTGTCAGATGGGGAAAAAACACTAGAAGCCTTGGAAGAGTCGTGAAATAGGCAAGCCAAGTCCACACGTCACATCAACAAGTAAAGCTGGCTAACCGCAGAGAATGATAACTCTGCTGCATTCGTGCCAGAAATCTCCTCCTTCATACAAAAAAGAAAACTGGAGGCTACGCAAAGATGACGGGGACTTGCCTGAAACCACAGAGCTCTTGCGGGCAGGGTTAAAAAATAAATAAATTCCAGGGTCCATAGCGCCCCCCACTAAAAAAGAGCGCAGGAAGCGGCTAAGAACAACACAGCGGACAGCAGGGAGGCGCTCTTCCCACCAGCTTCCCCCAGAGAAAAGACGTGGTGGTAAGCTAGAAGGAAGTGTGTTCCGCACGGACAACTCCTTGTTATGGGGGCTACCTGACGCACTCTCCCCGCCCCCCTTTTCTCGCTCAGCTCTGGGAGAAATTCCGCTGCCAGCACAGGCGCTCCGAAATCAAAACGGCAGGGAAGGTCTGACAGTTTCGGACCAGACTTTTTTTTTTGTTACCCCTGCCTGCTACGCACCACTAGGCAGAAGAGCCCTGTTACCTGAGACGAAGGCAGCTGCCCGCTCAGTGACGAACTGCGCGGGTCGTACTGAGGAAACGGGAGACCGTGCAGGTTGTGTCTTATCTCCCTACACAGTCGAAGCAACAGGTGGCTCCTAGAGGCGCGCATGCGTCCATGTTGTATGGCCCTCACCCAAACTACTCTTCAGTGTGTCCTCTCCAAGGCCCGTTTCTGGGCGGATAAGGTTGACCGGTGCCTCCCAGAGCGTCCCCGTGACCGTGGAACCCACGTGACGCTGCCCTGTTGCAAGCCCGTTTGGCGTTCAAGTGTTCCCTCGGCTGTTACTGGATGTCTTTTGGCTAGGCGATTTCTCTCAGCCTACCCCCCCCCCAGGAGCAGTGAGGAAGAAATGAAAGGAAAGAACCTTTGTGTTTTGCCGCCCTTGAAAAAAAGGATGGGATAGAATGTATTACAATAATACAAACATTTGTGACATAAAAATAGAGACCTGAACACATTTATTGGGAGTAAGGCCTACTAATCAAAATGAGTGTTTAGGATTGCACTGTAAATTCCACATGGGTGAAGAGGAAACAGATAACCACTTCAGTGGCATATGTCGGGTATTATACCCTATAATCTTAAATATAGCACACATGTCCCTCTAAGAAAATAAACATGTTGCATGTAAGTTATATGTGCCTTATTCCGAAGGTTTAAATTACCACATGAGAAATTCTGGTTTATACATCCTTTCTCTTAATGGAACATATGCATCTCTTGTCCCCCAATGAATCCCAATGACGGGTTTTGTTAAGGAAACTTGGTGGTGAAGGAAAATCACTGTGCATGCTTGAAGACACACTTTTTATTAATACTTTATATGTTCCCTGTATTTACTGAGTCTGAATTTATACTCCACCTTTTTCCCCAATGAGGACCCAAAGCAACTTACACTGTTTTCTCTCCTCCATTTTATCTTCACAACAACTCTATGAGGTAGGTTAAGCTGAGGGCCAAATTACAAAATAACACATCCCGGAGTCTGCCACAGGGACAGAATGCCATTTTAGAGTCTTCTTAAAAATAAACACTGCAGGGGCTAAACACTGCCAGTCTGTGGTGTGGAAGGATGAGTGAAGCCTGTCTCCCCCACCCCAGGCTCTTAATGGTGCACAAAAAGAGAAGCCCCCTCATCCCTTGTGCCATGGTCCCTGGCAGAATTGGCAATTTTAGAAGTAAACAAAACAGGTTCTGAAATAGCGCCATGTCTTCATGGTGAACTCAGGGTGGGTTACAACATTATAACTACATTAATATAAAACAATAAAATCAAGATTAAAACTATAAACCCTTAAACAATGTCGATCAAACTACATCACGGCTATTACAATGGTTTTAGACAAGGCAGAAAGGGCTAGATCCCATTAGGGATTCCAGATTATAAGTACCCTACCTTGGGTAAACCAAGGTGGTTATCATTCTGTGTCCTCAAAAATTGAAGACCATGGTACAAATTGTAACACAAAAGTAACAGGATGGTACAGATGATATTTGACGTCTGCTGCCTCACCCAAAAGTCTGGCGAAAGAGCTCCGTCTTACAGTCTCTGCAGAACTGTAGAAGGTAAGTGCCAACACCTTGAAACGGACCCGGAATTCTATCAGCAGCCAGTGCAGTTCACGGACCACAGGCTTAATATGTGCCCATGAAGACATCACTGTCAGCATACACTCTGCCACATTCTGTACCAACTGCAATTTCCAGATCAGGTGCAAGGGTAGGCCTGCGTAGAGCAAGTTACAATAGTCCAATCTGGAAGTAACAATTACATGGTTCACTGTAGCCAAGTCGCGGGTAGAAAGGTATGGAACCAGCTGCCACACCTGCCATAGATGGGAAAAAAGCTGATTTGGCAACTGTAGTGACCTGAGCCTCCATAGATAATGAGGCATTGAGTATCACCTCAAGGCTCCTCACTCTCGGTGCTGGTGTCAATAACACCCTGCCCAGGGCTGGAAGCCATATTTCCACATCCAGTCTTCTGCAGCTCAGATACAGGACCTCCGTCTTCATTGGATTCAACTTCAGCCGGCTCTGCTGCAACCAACCAGCTGCAGCCACCAAGGCCCTGTCCAAAATATCTGGAGTCAAGTCCAGCTGTCCGTTCATTAACAGATGGAGCTGGACAGCCGGCTCTGCTGCAACCAACCAGCTGCAGCCACCAAGGCCCTGTCCAAAATATCTGGAGTCAAGTCCAGCTGTCCGTTCATTAACAGATGGAGCTGGATGTCATCCGCATATTGGTGACACCTAGCTGTCAGGACCCACAGCCAAACAACTGAGCACACACTTCCAAGAAAGGTTTTGCTTTATTGTCAGTACTATGGTTGCAATAACATGGTCACTGTTAGGAATGGCAAGCATAGAACAAGCATATAGTAATATAGAAGATTCAAGAGGTCCCCCCCACACCTGTGGGTCAATCGGCCCGTTTCCCACGGGCAGGAAAGAGTAACCGATGACCCAACCGATCCAAGGCTGAGAAACGAAACTAGTCTCATGGTTAATTAAAGTGGGGACACTACACAGGCATGAAGACAAGGTCAGAGATAACAAGGGGAGTAGCGAGAGGGAAGGAATGTGGCACCAACTTGTACACAGGTCAGGCAAGCGAACTCTAGGCTAATAAACAATATGGCAGCATAGCTGACATTCTGCCCACCTAAAGAACAATCTCCCGGCTAGCCCGGAAACTCCCGGTGAAATTCCCGCAACAGTTGAGGGGCCCGAATATCCCCTACTTCCACCCATTCATGGTGCTGGGGTCCAAAGTCCACCCATTCAATCAAATAATACAGTTTGCCATGTTTACGTCTGGAGTCCAGGATTTTAGAAACCTCGAAATGTTCTTCGCCCTCCACCATGGGGGGGGGGCGCACCAGCTTTGCAGGGCACCAGGGACTCGGACCTGGGTCCTGTTTCAGGAGGCTGAAATGAAACACAGAATGGATATTCCACATGTTTTTAGGAAGTTCTAGATCCACAGTAACATCTGTTTGACCTTAAACAGGCCAATGAACTTCCAGCCCAGTTTGCGGCTGGGCCTCAAAACCTTTATGTTCTTAGTAGCTACATAAACAGAGTCACCAGGCTGCAGAGCCCAACCCTCCAACCTTCTCTTATCAGCCTGAGCCTTGTAAGTCTCCTTCGCCACCTCTAAGGTTTTGCACAACGAAGGCCATGAGTCTTTAAGCTGTTGACACCACCGTGCAGGATCCCCCGGGCCCAAGGCGTTGCTCTCGAGGAACGGCATAGGGGGGCTGTCATAGCCATATAGTGCCTTGAAAGGGGACATTCCCGTAGAGGAATGAGTCATGTTGTTGTAGCAAAATTCAGCCAGCAGCAGCAAGTCAGCCCAATCATCTTGCTGGTAGTTGGTGAAGCAACGTAAATATTGTTCCAAAGTTTGATTCACACGTTCGGTCTGCCCATCAGTCTCTGGGTGATAAGCGCTACTCATGGCCCGTTTTACCCCCATGAGTTTCAAAAGCTCCCCCCAAAACTTGGAAGCGAATTGTTAAATAGCATGCAATTGCCACACCCAAAACCACCCCACTCCCAGTGATAGGGTATTTACATAACATTACTACTAGATTGGTTACTTTCAGAATCCTGACAGGTTATTGTTCTTTTTTATTGTTCTTATGTTCCAAGCTCAACCAGTCTCTGGGGAGATTCAATCAGGAATGATTCAATCCCAGTACATAACAGTCACCCAGTAAGCTTCCACTGCAGAGTGAGAATTCAAATCTGGGTCTCCCCCAGATCCTATTTCTATACTCTAACCACTATACCACACTGGCTTTAAAACTGACCAACAGATTTTGGAAGAGAGCCATGGATCAAATAAAGCTTCACCCAGCGATGTCACAACATGAGATGGATGACTCTATAAAGGAAGCCGTTGCCCTCCATTTGCAAGACCTGAGAAGGGTTGTTAGTGATAAGACATTTTAGAGGACATTAATTCATAGGGTCACCATAAGTTGGAAGCAACTTGACATCGCTTCACACACACAAAAGATGTGACCGGAGTGAAAGGAGGGATTTATGACTAAGAAAAAATAGCAGGGCTATTTTTTGGCAGGAACGCACAGGAACAGCGTTCCGGCTGGCTTCAGAGTTGGCCACGCCCACTACAGCCAAAGCCTCTGCGTGCGTGGCTACAGAGGGAAGGCCTGGAGAGTGACCCCCCCAGCGACTCCGAGGTGGGCGGGCCAGGAGGGGCCTTCCCCAGCCTGTCCAAGGGCTGGCAAGCCAAGGGAAGGCAGTTTAAACAGACTTCCCTTCCCTTCCAGGGCCGGCTTGCCAGGGCTCCCCACAGCCGCAGGGCACCTGGGCAAGCCAAGGGAAGGCATGGGCGGTGGCCTAATATGCTAATGAGCTGTGCCATCAGGGGTGTGGCCTAATATGCTAATGGGTTCCTGCTGTTGGCTGTGGCCTATTATGCTAATGAGTTCCTGCTGGGCTTTTTCTATTAAAAAGCCCTGGTAACAAGGCATCCAGTATGGCCTCTGTGCCTTTCCAAGCTGCTCCAGAAAGCCATGGGGGTAACCCCCCCACACCCAATCACAGCATGCTTTTGATTAGAGTGGACTTGCCAGACAGATGGCTGCCTGAGTAGAGATGCTGCAGGAGGTGGTTTGGAACCAGGAAGATGGCAGCTGCATGGCTGAGTGGCAAGTCCCACACTGATCACTGCAGCTAGCCCACACTGAGTGCTTTTGCCTCATCTGTTGCACTGCAAAATAACCCTTAACAAGGGCCCTCCCCCACTGCCTTTTACTGGCAGAAACCAAGGTTTAAAGCTTGCCACAATAGCAACTGAGATCTCATTTCTTAAAGGTTCAGGTGCTGCTTCTTTTATTTATAAGGTTTTAACCCCCAATGCCCTGACCCAGATGGCCTATGCTAGCCTGATGTCTTTAGATCTTGGAAACTAAGCTGGGCTGGCCCTAGTTAATAAAAAAGAAAGCAAATTTGTATATTTTTAAATAAAAACGTGTGTGTAATATTTGTTCATGTTTTGCAGCTCTCCAACATCTGACATTTATTCTATGTGGCTCTTACGCTGAGTAAGTTTGGCCACCCCTCCCCTATGGGGTTGCCATAAGTTGGCTGAACCTTGATGGCACTTTCCACCACTAATCTC